AGGCCAGGCTCCTCCTGATTGTCAAGTTGAGTCTTCGCCTCTGCGGTCCTGTGGGGGCCTTTCTCTCCTCTCACCACGGGGAAGCCTGTACTTGCTCTGAGGTTGGAATGACTCAGTGCCCCCAAGGCACTCTTCCAGCTGCGGAGACCCTGCCTGAAACATAATGTTTCCTGTGGTTTCAGGGATGAGGTCACACTGTTTTCTTTTGCAGTGTCCTCAATGGGTTTTCACTTGGGGGTATAAGCAGTTGGTAGGAAAGCAGCTTCTTTCTTTCACACCATCTCCCCTCTTTCTTTCTCCACTTCCTAGTTTTCCACTTCCTAAATTTCAAACCCTGATGAAAAAGGCGGTGATGATGATGATGGTGATGGTCTATTTTGTTCAACTCTACATCTCCATCTGCCATCTCATGGGACAGTCCCTAGCATATAATTCGATAAACATCTGAATGAATGGAGTTCAGTTATGTTGGGCGATACCTGACCGATGATGGTCATCAGCAAAGTTGAGGTTAGACGTGTCCTCTCCTACATGGGAAGTCTGTCCTTAAGGTCTGACTTTAGGCCAAGTGTCTCCCACTCTGCTTTGTCCTGGCATCCTGTAAGAAACCTCAGCCGCATGCTTTCAGTAACCACAGGGTCTGCCTCTGGCAGAGGAGGAACATTGCAGCAATGAAGGGAAGGATGACCCAGCAGGAAAGCTGATGTAACGGAGACAAGAACAGGCCCACACATGTGGGTACTTCAGTGCAGAAGACATTCGATGGTGCGGGATATCCACAGCCACCACCGAGGCCTTTTATAGGATTCTCTGTCTCCACTCTGCCTCAGTTAGTAATCACTCACCCCTCTGCAGTGAGGGGTTGGGTTTTGATTCATGTTGATTTTAATACCAGGGAAGAATCGGAGAGGATGGGCACCGACTCGTCCTTGCTGCTGATATTATTTGGATTAATACATCAGGGCCAGCCTATTCCCCTGAGGGCAGCAGACTTGTCCAACTCTTCTCCCGTCAGAGCTTCTGCAGCTTCTTGCTTTTCTCAGTGGCTGGACCCTTAGAACTTTCTGAAAGCAACCACGCAGCGTCTGTCTGCAGTGTTTATGCCGAGCGCAGTCTCATGCCGACATTTTAAAGACACTGCCTGCTACCAGCCACCTTTGGCACTCTTTCCATCGGTCTGAATTGCCACTTATCTTTCCAGCCCACACAGACAGACACATCCTCCTGTGACATGCACACTCCCCAGTACAAGCCACCCACCAAGGCATCACCGAGGTGCCTCCCTGGACACTCAGGTTCACATACTTGCCATGTGCCCCGCACCTTCTGCAAAGACCCAACTCATCTTCACCTCCTTTTGTGGTGATGTTTAGGCAGATCCCTCATTCGTAATTATTTCTGAGGCTTAGCTTTAAACCTCTCCAGTGGAATGGTAGAAAGTGAAGTTGCCGGGACTTAGGAGTCAGGGTGCCTGGTGTCCCCTTGCCTCAGGACATTTTCTTCTCTTGGAACATTGTGGTGGGAAGGGACAGACACGCTCCTGCCCTTGTCTGACGGCTCCTTCTGGAACATAAACCAACACGTGGTTCCTGTGGCGCCCAGGCTCATCACAGAGGCTGGGGGCCGAGCTGCTGTTGGTTTTGGAGTTGGCTAGACCAACAGGATTCCTGGGGAATGTTTATTTGCCCTCTGTCATTGCTAAGGGGATGGCTGTAAGAATCAAGGACAAATAAGGATGGCCTTTGAAATTCTGGGT